ACTTGTGACCACTCAGTATATATATATATTGCATCTATAAATCCCTAATCTCATATCATATTTCTTAGAAGAACATGTATCTATTAGTACGATATTGTCTTTCTTATTTTCACTATATTTATGTATTGTTACAACAGTGGAAGTCATGCGACGCTGGAAGCATGCACGCTGGAGCTTCTAGAAGGATCATGTCTCTTCCTGGCAACTCTAGTCTTTTCTACGTGCCCTCGATTCCTGTATATAAGCACGCCAGATAAAGCGAGACAATTAATCATAATTGAATTGCAGACAGGCAGAGATAGAGACAGATAATCAAGTCAAGCCGTAAGTAGAGTGCGTGAATCGTTGTGAATTATAGCGTGTGTTTAAGTTAAAGTGACTGTGGAAATTGAGTGTATTGCAAAGTGGCACATACATACATGCATCACCTTTAAATTTCTGTAACTTTACAGTAATGCCTTCAGTTTTGACACTTTGTGTAGTATACTACGATAAGCAAAGGAATCGGTTTAAAATACTTCATTTGATTTCTTTCAACCAAGAGGAGAAAAGCTTTCTTTTGCCAAATAAAATCAGCTGTTTTTTGATCTTGTATTCAAAAAAAATAAGTGGAATATATTTATAAAAGAAATAACTTAATTGTGTCTGTTTCGCTTTTTGTTTTTACTCTTTGTGACTAAATATTCCATAGATACACTGATGATGAACAAAACAGAAGGGTTCAAATTTCTGATAAGTAATTGTTCTTCACCAGAGGAAACATATTTTGATTTTGCACTGTAGTCGTTAACATCTTAAAAAAAAAAAGAAAAAGCAGTAAATGAGAGAAGTTTCTTTGTTTGATCTACGAGAAATGAAATGTAACACTGTCTGTTGCTTTGACAGGAAGCCTACTCTGACTGTGTAGAGTACTTTGGTGAAAGTGCACGAACTATTGCTTCAAACACATTCTTTTCGATGTTTGTTCGGTTTTCAAAAGCCATCAAGGTGAGAGATGTACTTACAATGAAGTATTTAGTTTTGTGAAACATTATTATTTGAAAATGATTACTTTTTATTTCAAGAAAGCATTGATTCATACTTGAAAAATATATCGAAGTAATTTTTGAACTTTACTTAAGTGTATTTATTTTATCATGAATCGTTTAACTTAAACATATTCAGAAATATACCCATAATATATTAATTACTCTACATAAACTTTCTGTTGTGAATGAGATGTAATTAATTATGTCACGTTAATTGTTTGAATTTTTATAATCCTATTAAAATGCTTTTGTATCATGATGTGCATGTTTAAGTATGAAAACTAAAAGTTTGGAATCTTCCCATCTAGGTGTTGTTTTATTAATACATTTGATTGGTAGTGTTGAGCCGTCATTATTGAATGTATTTTTAGGTTAAGAATATTTACTGTTTTTGTTTAATATATAGTATTTAATGAAACTGATGTTGTGTTTCCAAACTGGCAGACAAATGATAATAATGATTTCCTTGGAATGAAATATAATCTGAATATAGTTTTAAAAAAATGGAGGTATTTATAGTATAGATTGGTGGTTCTCAAACATGAAGATCCCCTTTTAATTTAAAATTTTTTGCAGATATTCAAACCTATTGATATATTTTGTTTTGAAAAAAAAAAAGATTACACATGCATGAAAAGCTATATTAAAAAAATGAAATGTTTTAGTTCATACAAGTTTAATTTTACAAAACGTTTAAAAAGTTTAAAAAGTCTTCCATCTTTAAGTCAGTGTGTGTAAGTTGTTGCATGTCTTTTATAGCATCCACAATCCACCAGGATACTATAATAGACCTGCAACGGCTTACAGATGGTGACCTGAAGACGATTGATGGAAAACTTTCAAAATGTCACCCTCTACATTTGTATTTTTCTACAACAGGCAATTCTAGTGTACTTATTAGAATGTTTTGTTTCATCAGCTGGGTACCCTAGCTGTTAAAGATATTTTTGGTTGTAAACTCAATAATAAAATAGGTAACATCAGTGGCAGTTCCAATTCCTTTTTGATGTTATTTTAAAGTAATATCAGTCTTTCTTTATGTGCATATTTAAGTTCAGAACAAGATTTCACACTTTATAATTCTTAGTTTTAAAACAGTGTACAAGCAACAACTTATAATACCTCTGTTTCAGCAAGCTGAACAGGAAAATGAGCAGCGGAGAAAACAAGAACAGACAGCGAAAGAAGCAGCACAACATCCGCCATCAAATGTAAAAAAGAAAAACTCGCTGAATGCTAGAAAAAACACGCAGGTAAAATTCAAGAAAAGTAAAATGCATATTGTGATGAACTAAGTCGAGAGTTGTCATTTTAAAACTTTAAGCCCTATAATTCAGTGCACTGGTGTGAATCGAAAATCCTGGGTTCAGGTTTCAGTCAAAACATTTTGCTTTTTACTTATTGCAGTTCGTTAAAAGTATTGACCTAGATTACAAACACAAAAAAACATTCTCAGACTTTAAATGCAATATAAGTTTGTAAATACTGTCTCTGGTCATTGGTTAATTTTCCATAGAAATTCTTTCCGAAAAACTTCAGCGATACAAGTCCTTTCTTAAATAAAACTAGTTTATTTATTCTCAATAGTAACTTTACAGTAAACTCCTACTTACCAGTAGTAGAAAATGACAGAAAGCATGTTGAACATGTTTGTGACAGTTTTTGAAACACCCTGTACCATGTTCTTTTTTTTTTTACATAAAGTTTGTAATTCAGTTGGACCTCTGGTACATGAAATTCACTTTTTTAACATATGATACTTTTATATAAGTGGTTTTCTTTTTAATCAGTCTATAATGTTATTTATCTATTGTTATATACATGTTACCTAACAACTTTTTCTCTTTTTTTTTGTAAAATTATTCTGTGTGAATCATAGGATTAATAGTATGTTTCACAATTTATAGTTGAAGTTTGTAAAACAATATTGGTAAAGAAATTTGTGCTAAGCCTATATAATAACAATGATGTATCTTTTGACAAATTTCACTTCACTGTTCAGAGAAAGTGCATATCGTTT